ATCGCATCGCACAGCCCATTCTGAGCTCTCCGCGCAGTTTGGCCGCGGCTGTAGAATGCGGGACTGTCTGTTGAGCCCGGCAACCTATTTCCGTGGGGGAGGAGACCCCCCTTCGCCGTCAGTAGAAATTATTTTCCACTAGTTCGTGTCTGTATTTGTATATACCCACACATATGTTTATGATTTTTTCGATTTATAATTGGGTGAAAAAATTCAGATTTTTTTACCTCTACCTTTTTAGAGTGGAAAACTCATGGTTTAAAATAAAATAAAATAAAAAATATTTTTTCTTTTTTTTTTACATTGCAAAGTTTTAAATTTATTTTAGAAATCGACACAAATTTTTTTGAGTGTAATTTAAAAATTAAGACCTGTGCACGTTTATTATTGGATGACTTCAACTTTACAAAAAGACAAAAAACGATAGAAATTTCGGAAAAGTAAAGTCTTTATATATATATATATATATATATAAACTTTTATGGAGTATTACCTGAATTTTGATGTACAAAATCAAATGTTTTATTTATTAACGTATGTAATAGTACATTTGTTTTGATGACATAGTAAGATAAACACCAATCAATTATGTTGTTGTGTGTGACAACTGTTTAAAACTAACCACAATTTTTAGTATAAATAAGTTCATAGTTTTCCCTTCTAGGTTTGAATAATATTCTGGTATAAATTTTACTTTTCTTAGATAGGTAAAATATAATTTAAAAATATTTTCTTATACAAAATTACATAATTATTTTTTTAGAATCTTATCAAGGTAATATATGATAAAGCTCTTTTTGAACTTCATATGTTCATTTATTTGCCTTAACTTAAGTTGTTGCTATGCTATGAGTTGACGCTTATAAATAAAAAATAAAAAATAAAAAAATAACATATTTTAAGAGCATGTCACATATGACAACACAATCTATGTAATAAAATAAAACCATAGAGTGAATGATAGAAAAAAAAGTTGTATTGAGTTGAAAGTATGCGTTGATAATTCTATTTCTATCTTTAATAAATCAAACTGTCTAGAATACATTTATTTTTTTAATACATATTTGATATCTAATTATTTTAGTTTCATACATATTTTTATCTTTAATATATTAATGTAGTATAAAAAAAAAATTAAATTTAAAATATTTTATAATCAATGGAACAAGTATTTTTCATGCCTTCATTGCAAATATTGCTAATAGAGATTAGTTCTAATTTGGTAGGAATTTTGAATCTTGTATGTGTCATCTAACTTTTCAATAGCAACAAGGAGGTAATACCTAAAGATACTATTATAAGTATAATACTGTTATTATTGAGAGCATTAAATGTAGCCAGCGCTTTCTATACTATTTATTGTAGTCTACAGTAAATATTGTACCTATAGTATTTTGAATGTAGTGAGAAGAAATTATTTATCTTCTCTCCTTCTCTTTGTATAAGAGAATTAACCCTATCAATAAACTCACTTCTTTTGTGTCTATATTTTTATATGTATGTGCATATTACTTCTAGCTACTCTTGTCTCTCTCTCTAAAACATTCTCAACACATTATCAACACAATTACTCTTATGCCCTAGTCTTAATTCTCAAAAACTTATGTGCACTTTATCCTTTGTTTTCTCCTTAATTTTTTTTATAAGTTGGTATTGTTATTGTGTTGTTGTTGCTGCTGCTATTATTATTGTTTTCTTATTGTGTTATTGTTGTGCTACTATTATTGCTATACTGAGTTGCTATTGCACTACTATTGTTCTTGTGTTGAGTATTTGTTGTGCTATTCTTGATGTGTTGTTGTCCTGCTGCTTTTGCTAAATTGAATTGTTGTTGCTGCTACTGCTATTATAGTGCTATTGATGTTGTACTATTACTGATAAATTGTTGCTTTTGTTGTATTGAGTTGCTATTGCACTATTGCTGTTGTATTGTTGTTGTTGCTACTGTATTGCCATACATTATCGCCAATTTGTTGCACCTTGCTCTACCTTACCACCATATGTTGCATCCTACCACCAACTGCTGTACCTTGCCGCAATCCACCCTAGACCCATATTTTTGTGAAAAAAAAAAAAAAAAAAAAAAATCCTAAAATTTTTAATATTTTTGATTTGAAGTTTTAACTTTATCATTTTATTTGGCTTGACATTTTAAGGTACATTTTACTTAATCTTTTTTACTTGATTTTGTATTTTTATTCACAAATTTATTTATAATGAATGCTTCAACATCTTCAACTGCTTCTACTATATTTCTAACTATCACTATTGCATCCCAATATTTTCAAGCTCTTCTATTTCCACCATTGGTTGCTAAAAGAAATAATTATCTATTATGGGCAAAAATAGTAAAAATAAATTTATTTGTAGAACAACTCTTAGATGTAATTATGTTTGAAGAATCTTCTATTATAAGTACTTCAATTTTTATTACTATCCTTTGGAAAGCACTTATTTTTCTTCGTCAATATCTTGTACTTGCATTGCAACATTAATATTTAGAAATAGAAGATCCAACCAACCTCTAGAAGAATCTTAAATCCAAATTTGATCATCAAAAGACCATTTTCTTTCCACTTGCATGTAATTATTGGACATATTTATTTTTCTTAGATTTTTTAAATTTAAATGCTTTCAATAGTAAAATATATCATATTATCTCACAATTACATTTATGTAGATAAAACACCTCTGAAAAAGAAATGATTGAAAAAATTCTCTCTATATTTCTTCCTACATTTGTTGTGCTTCTACAATAATATAAGAATATGAAAGTTTAGAATCATCATGATTTCATGTCCTATCTACTTCTTGTGGAGAAACAAAACGAGCTACTCTTACGTAAAGCAAAAGTTTATCCTATTGGAACCATGGTTCTAGAATCTCATGCACTTAATATTCCAAAGTCTAAAAATAAATTATACAAACATAGAAAAAATACTTATAAGTACCAAGTCAGTCATGGTCATGACCATTTCCATCCATATGGAAAGAATAAACGTTCTACAACTAATTACAGTAGAAAACAAAAATCATAGATGCGTTCTTACTATAAATGTGAAATGATTGGATATTTGGCACATATATGCTGTATTTCAAAATACTTTGTTAAAATATTCCAAAAAAATAAAAAACTTTGAATTGAGGCTTGTCAAGTTCATACTATAGATGTGTCCATGGATTTAATTGGTGTTGATGATTTAGAGGCTTATATGAATGACAAAACTTCTAATAATGAGTCAAATAATGTGCTCATTGATTTTACAACAACACATACTATCTTGTGGAATAGAAAATTTTTTATTGAAAAATTTTCAACCTTAAAAACTAAAAATTTGATAACTATGGCCAAAACAAATGCATTTTTTTTCAAAAAAGAATAGCAATAGTAAAATTACTTGGAGGCTCTATCATAAAATGTAAACATACAATGTTTGCACCCAGAGTACATTGGAGTCTGATCAACTACAAAAATGTATGTGTTAATAGTTATCACCTCTCAATTGCAATTCTAGATAGATGAGAGATTTTGGTTCTTGAAAAAAATCATAAAGTTGTAAAAAAAATCTTTGTTGCAACAAATGGTTTATATAGGATTATAATTTAGCTTCCTATTATATTTAATTTTACATCATCTATCATAGAGAGTCATGTTTCTCTTTGGCATGGACGATTGAGACATGTAGGATCTATATTATTTCAAAAAATAATTCCATGTATAACTCGACATAATTTAAGACCTAAAGATGTAAATTCTATAGAATTATGTTATATATAACTACAAGGTAAGATGATTGCTCAGCCTTTGATTTTGAAACTCCTACAATAGTTACTACCAATGCTTCAAAGGTTGCATGGTCATATTTGTGGTCCTATTAATCCAATATTTGGATGATTTTGTTATTTTTTCGTCCTTATTGATGCATTAGACAAACAATCACATATTTCATTTTTATCAATCTAAAATATGGTATTTGGTAATCTTATATCTATGCTTATTTGTTTTTGAGGATATTTTCTTGATTATCCTATCAAAACATTGCGTATGGACAATGCAAAAGAATTTGCATAAAAGTCCTTTGAAGACTATTGTATTCCAACAAGGATTGAATTGAAATATTGTGTTCTATATGAACATACTCAAAATAGACTTACAGAGTCATTTATAAAGCATATACAACTCATTACTTGGCCACTCCTTCTTCAAAAAAATTTACTTACATCTATGTGAAGTCATGCAGTTTTGCATGTTATAGCATTAATATGCTTCCATCTTTCTTTTCTTAAAATTATTACACCACAAGAGTTCATTTTATGTTATATTCCAAATATATCTCACCTACAGATATTTACTTGTCATGCTTAGATTCTAATATTAGAACTTCAATAGCATATCATTGGAACTCATCAACAAAAAGGCATATACATTGGTTTTAATTCATTAAGTATTATTTGTATTATTGATCCATCAATTAGCACATTATTACGTGCATGTTTTCAAAATTGCCATTTTGAAAGGAACTTATTCTCATCTCTTTAAGGAGGATGTGAGGCCAAATTTCACCACTTGATGAAACCTATGCCACACAACAAGTCCAAGAGGTAGAATTGGAGAGCTCCCAATTGTGTAATTGTTAGATTAATTTAAATCTTTATATTAAAAATTTAATTAGTTTTAGGCCTTCCAAGCAATGGTTACCAACATTAAATTAACATGTTAAATGAAATTTACTATGAAAACATAATAAAAATAATTAACTAAGTTATTACTATTAATTGACCATAAGAATAAAAACTTAAGTTTGAGTTAAAAGTTAAGTTAAAAGTTAAGTTAAAAAAAGTTAAAATTAAAAATTAAGATTAAAAGGTTAAATTAAAAGTTAAAATTAAAAGGTTAAGTTAAAGTTAAAATAAACAAGTTGAGTAAAAAAATTAAGTTAAAAGTTAAGATTAAAGGTTAAGTAAAAAGTTAAAATTAAAAGTTTAGTTTAAAAGTTATAGTTAAAAATTAAAGTCAAAAATTAAACTGAGAATATTAAAGGTTAAAAGTTAAACTTAAAATTTATTAGCCAAAAAGTAAAATG